TATATACACTACCTAGGTGCAACCCATAATGTTCCATTGTTGTCAGCTCTCCTGAATTTGATTCAATATTACTCCTAAAAGCCTAAACACTAACATTTCTACTGGCCTGTCAGAAAGTGCTAGCTTTTGAAGAACTTATGAGGTGATGCTATATTTGGTCCACATGTCTTGAAGTTTATAAGAAATTCAAATATAGAAGTTTACTCTCATCACTCCAGCTGAAATACCAAGTGGTTACAATAGAACACAGCTACACAAAATACTTAACAGGTGTGAGTACAAATCTTTTAATTTAGTTTAATTTAATTTAGTTATGTCGGTCTGTAATAGAACAGCTATTTCCATACCTGAAAAAAACAAGCACAGTATTATATAATAGTATTAAGGCACAATAGTGCATATTATTAGCAGTTTTCCATGGCTTCATAAAATATAACTTGTTAAAATGGCCTTCAAGGAGAAGAACCACCAGATATAAATTCTACTGCAGCAGTGAGTGTAGCCAATTTTTCCTTCAAATAAAAGGCACAACATGTCTGTTGTCCTTCTCTCCTTAGCAAATGTGTTTTACATTAAGGTGGCCTTAATCTTTCAATGTGCAGGAGGGAAATGGCCTCTGGCAATGAAGCACACCCATTAAATGATATAATTCGATGTACATTTTAGGCTACTTCAAACACATAGCCGTGCTGCTTTGTATTTTCCTAATTTAGAAATGGCCACCTCAGATTTGTGTAAAAAACTAGACATAAATGTCATGAAATGTCTTTCAATAGTTCTCCCAAAGGTGCCCTGACCTGCATAGCCCAGATAAACCCAATCTTATCAGATCTCGGAAGCTAAGCAGGGCAGACCCTGGCAAGTTCTTGTAAGGGTATCCTCCAAGGAACACCAGGGTCGGGACGCAGAGACAGGTAATATCAAAGCCACCTCTATGAAAAATCCTAACCCCACTAGGTTTCACCAGAAGTCATCATGACTTCCAGGCTCGCAAGTGAGCACACACACGAGTACACACACACACAATGTAAAAAAGATGTCCAGATGCCATCATAGTAAACAAAATATCCTGCTGATTATGGTATTAATAATATATGCACAAAATCTGACTATAACACTTGATTTCTTAAGAATGCTTAGATGGCAACATTGGGAAAGTACTTTTAAAGCAAGAGATAAGCTGATACAGACATATCAGATAAACTGGTATTCAGACATGTCAAAATTATGGTTAAAGGAGATTACCTATGGTTTGGTGTGATGTCTGAATTAACCACAGATGGCAATTGCCCAGCAAACTGAATCACGTGGTTTAAAAATTAATTTGTAAACTATAGTTTGTGCTAATTATAACTGGGCATAATTTGTGAATAGACAACCCATGGGGTACTGCCATTAATCTGCCTTCGTTGGTTGCTGTGCCTTGAAGACAGGAACAAACATTTTAAGCTGAACTCTGAGATAGAAAAATGAAATCAGGTATGCATCTAAATCTTGGTTAGCTTGTTGTATGTTTAGAAGCACAAACCACTAGTTTGATATGTTGTTTGATCTGATAATTCCAAGGGGTATCCATGTTAGTCTATTGTAGCAAAACAAAACAAAAGTTCAGTGGCACCTTAAAGACTAACACATTTATTCCATTATGAGCTTTTGTGAGACAGAGCTCACTTCTTCTTCAGTTGCAGTGAGCTCTGTCTTCTTCAGTGAGCTCTGTCTCGCAAAAGCTCATACCTGAATAGATGTGTTAGTCCTTAAAGGGTTACTGGACTTCTGTCTGAATTGAGACATTTAAAAGCATACTCAAATGAATTCAGAAACATAATGTATTACAAATCCCGAGAATCCATTCCTTATTAAACACTTCATGCATGCAAACACAATTCTGAACTTGTAATTCAGACACTGTAAGCTTTTCTTACTAGACCTTCTAAACAGCTTTTAATATTTTTAAATAATAATCCAATAACTAGCCACTAATACATATTGCAAATTTACGCTGGTTACTGAAGCATACAAGAGAATTTAAGAAGAAAATCATCTTGTGTTACATAGATTACAGCAAAGTTTTTGACTGCATGGATAATGAATAGCTACAATTGGTTTTAAAGGAAATGGGTGTGCCACAACATCTGATTGTTTTAATGTGCAACCTGTACTCTGCACAAGAGGACACTGTTATGACAGAATATAGAGAAACAAAATGGTCTCCAATTGGCAAAGGTGTCAGACAAAGGTGTATTTTATCCCCCTCTCTCCTCAATCTATATGCAGAACACATCATAAGGAAAGCTGGATTAGATTTAGATGAAGGTTGAGTGAAAACTGGTGGAAGGAACATTAACAATGAGTTATGCAGATGTGATATACAAAACCAACTGTTTGAGCACAGGAAGAAAAATGACCAAGTGAAGTACAATTAGCAGATCTATATGAATGTATCCAAAACCAGTCTATCATCTACAGCAGTTTATCTTTGTTGTTTCCTTCTCTTGGCTTCTCTAGTTAACAGAAGGCTGCAGTCTCCTCAGACTTTCCCCACCATTCCATACTCAATGAGTGATATCTTCAAGTGCATTGTTTAAAGTATGATAACTGGGGGGGGGGCTTCACACTCAAATGCATCAATGACTGTTTTGATTTCATGCTGTCTTACACAGGTTAGTAATGGCAAGAATCATTCATCCAGTAAAGGAAATGTGATTATGTTGTTATAATTGTAAAAATAATTGTTCATGATGGAAGAGTTAAGTCAGGGAGCACATAAAAGGACTCTTCAAAGTTACTTCAAGGGTTCAGTAGTCCCTCTTTAAAGACAAAAGGGCCAGTTTCGTGACTAAGAAGCTCATCTTTCAACTGATTAAATGCACCAAATAATTTTAGCTACATCTGTAATGGGCTCAGTCAACCTTAAACACGGCTGTATTTTGTTTAATACTAGTGTCTATTTTTCCATCTCCTTTCTTACCATCCCAACTTGTTCACCTATAGCTCCTCCCTCTTTACAGCAGATATTATGCATATTTATAAGGTCAACTTATAGCTCTTTAATGCTTGGTGAACAGGACAACACCTCATGACATTAAATACTGGAAATTTGTTTGGAAAGAAATTGCTTAACCTTTGTGTCCCTTTCCATTCATGAAATCCCTCCTATTTACAGCTTTCAGGCAACAAAATGGCAAGTAATGTGGTCTTTATACCAAAATAAGATACCTATTCCTACACAATGTTGCTCCAGATTGGTGTGCAAAATGCTTCTCCCTTCTAACTGGTCTGTTAATGCAGACATCACAGTCACTGTAAGTAAACTGCAATTTAAAAACTGTTAACTTTAAATTGCAACTAATGTGAATGCAAACTAGCAAGCCCAATGTTGTCACTGAAGCATTTGGACATTCCCAGTTCATTTTCTAGCAGAGACAAGGAAGAGACAGAAAGCCACAGTATACTGACTTATCACATGTGACTTCTGTTGACTCCAGAATTTGATGGAATGCTGGTTGCATTCAATTAGTATTTGCTAAATTAATTATAGTATATTATCAAAAACAGGTATTAATCTTAATTGTCCAAAAAGTGGAGTGACACTGTAAGACTCAAACTAGTTTATTATGATGCACATTAAGGTAATACTCTGCTTCAGCTGATGAAACTGAACCCCCACCTTGGAAATAGAACACCATTTAGTATACATGCTAAATCAATTATATTCTAGTGGACTACATTTTAATGTTAGCAAACTGACTATGAATAACACATCATGTATGTTTTATCACAATACTAAAACTAAAGTAAAATTATCAGTCCCTCAATTGATTAAAACTATACCACTCATTGTCCATCTCCCTCTACCACTACCTGCAGACTTTTATGAAATGCCCATGCTAAGACAATACAACCCAGAAGCTGGCAGTCATACTATTAGCAAGAATTTGGCTACAGAACCAAGAATGATTCATCAGACTTTCTAAAAGTATGGTTAAAAACTGCAAAGTAACATATTGCCTATTTAATTGTTCCAAAACAATAGTTTTTAAAGAAATCCTAAGAACCTTTCCCTAAAACAACAAAAAATTACGGTAGTTCTGATAATATTTATATATTGATTATTTACTATTAAATGGTTTAAGAAGCATTTTCTTTGTAGCTATTGAGCCCATAAACCAAGACAGTTATGAACCAGTATCTAACAACAGACTAATTCACACGACACTTAAACCCCTTGGATTTAAACTGCTTCCCCTAAGTATACTTACTTGGAAGGAAGTTACATTGTAATGAACTACTTCCCCATAAATGTGTCTAGGAGGAGCAACTAGTACCACCAATTTCACATTAAGCCACCTTAAATACAAGGATTTCCAACTATTCATGGACAGGGAGGCATACAACACAATTCAACACATATGTACCAATATTATTCTTTGGAACAAGAAACTGTGCTAAACCAAGGAACAAAATCATAGAACAATGCATACATCCTTGCACAAAACCCTTCTTCATTTTAGGTGAGCAATCTGCCAACCACTGATTTCATTCAAAACCATTATTTTATAGAAGTTGCACAGAAGCAGCAATGGATTGTCCTGCAACTACAGAATTCCTTGAAGCTATTCATGTACCCATAAATAAATAATGTCTGTTCATCGTGCAAACTGGAACATAGCTTTTTTGCTACATTTTCTATTTGGGAGGAGGGAAGGCTTAAAAAAACAACAACAATAGCCAAGCTTATTATTCAGAAACTTTTTAAACAGGGTGAATAAAGAGATGCTAGCCTGATTCTACAAAAACCTTTCTAAAATTCTCCACTCCCCAAGTTGAAACAATAAGTACAAATGCTATTGAGCCAACAGAGTCCTGAGAACCAAATGTTTCTTCAAAAAGAAAAAAATACATAAAGTAGAGATTCTATGCTGAGATCATGATTCCACATCATTTAAAAGCATTCTTTTCAACTTGTTGATATTTTATAGACGCCCACCAGGAGCCCATACCTTTTGGAACACGTCTTCCTTGCGTCGCCTTTTCTTTTTGCTTCTTTTTCTGGCTCTCTGATTTACTTGAATCCATTTTGGGACCTACAAGTCAAAACCATAGGGCTTTTTAAAGAAGATACAACCTGTGTGCAACTACTCAGCATGAGTAAGAAACTATAAACAGGCTCAAGACACATTTTTCCACTACTGCATTGGAAAAGGAAAAGGAAAAAGGCGGAGGGGATATACTTGTCCAGTTTACAATACTGTGCACTTGGGAAATCTTCAGCTATTTGTCCATGGTCAAAAGAGGAATGATGTTTGTTTCATCTTGCGTAATAAAAATTTTTGGTTGCCCATTTGTAAAGCAAACCTAGACCACAGTGCCAGTTGTGAAACATAAAGAGTCCTGGAAATACTGAGAGCTTGCAAAGTACAGCTGTGTATCCACACCATCCTAAAATGCATGATTGAAACTTTAACAGGACTTTCTTCCAAGTAGTGTCTTCTGAAGAAGGTGCAACAACTTTGCAACAGATTTTACTGCCTATTCTTCCTGTTTTTAGCTTCAACTACCAGTTTTATCCATCCAGTTTATATTAAGTGCTCATAATAAATGTAAAAAAACATAAGATCTCACAGCACATCAGCATTCATCTTTTAGCAACATTATTATTATTTAAAGGGAACTTTGAAGGGCACACAGTTGCAGCACTGAGAAGGAAACAAAACATCCCCGTAATTGGCAACTACAAGATAAAGCATTACCTCCTCATTCACTTGCTGGGCTAGTCGACACTCTTGCCACGCCTGACTTTCTTCCAGCAAAGGCTAGATGGGGGAAGACAAATAAAGTACATGTTTACTGAGGATGAAGGTTGGGCGATGAAATGTACTTTCTCCTTGCCCCGGCCTCGAAAATTGGACGCTCCGACTCCCTGGGATATATTCCAGATCTGATGCAAAACTTCCACCTCTGCGCAGCAAACCTCGGATTAGTCTCTCTCGGCTAGAATCTGACAAAAGTCCCAGCCCGTTTCGTGTGTTCTTTCCTTCTTTCTTTTCAATATTACAGAAAGGGAACGAAAGACGAGGGTATGCAAGTAAACACTATTTTGAATCTGCAATGAAAAGGTCCCCGATCCCGCGAGCGACTCCCCTAAGCGGCGCGTGGTTCTTTTATTTCCTTTTGTACACGCGGCTGGGATTTGTATTTGCGCTGGATGCAGCAGCCCTAGCAGCATTGGCCGAGGCTTGCTTGTTATTGTTTCAGGAGCGATACTGACGCCCTTTCTGGACGCATCCACAGGCTGCAGAGAGCGAGTGCCGCCCCGCCGCACAAGTGACCTCCGAAAGAAACGCAACACCTAAGAGAGGAGGGAACCCCCACCCCCCCCCCCCCCCAATGTTCCAGCCTCCGAGATCGGAGGAGAGGAGGAGCTCGCCTTAAGGGGACACAGACCGATCGGCTTTGTTCGCCCATCGCCCAAAGGTACAGGGGGCTGCTCTTGAACCGCTTGCTTGGCAGTCAAGGCTAACGTCACGATTTAAATATTACAACGTCTGTCTCCCTCCCCTCCGTTTGAGACTACTTCACTTGCCGAGAACGCCCAGCCCGCCTCCCCCTTTCCCCCTCGAAGTTTCCCTAGAAGTGCACATTCCAACCTCAGGTTGCCAGGTCTGACTTGCACAGGAGAAGGACCGAAAAGATTCACGGGAAGCAGCGCGCGATGCGCTTGAGCCATGCAGAGACGAAGCTCAGTCCCTGATCAAGCCTGCCTTCACCAGCTAACCTGGCATAGCGTTCTCTCTCCGTTTCCCAGCTACAACGCCCCAGTACGAAGTCTCTCGATTTTGAATGGGGCGAGCCCAATATGCTCATGTTTTTGTATCGTCAGATATTCTATATGGTAATAGTTTATTCAGATCGTCCACATAACAATTAGAAATAAAGACTAGGAAAAGAGGAGAGATTTCAGAAAACCACAACAGTTACTTCCTATTATATCCCATTATGTATTGTATTCCAAAGCACTGCCCTTCATCTTCTCCCATCACTCACATATCATAAAGGCCTATGTTACTATTCCCAGTAGAAGCATTTTAAAGTAAACCTCCTAATGGAATTATTGCTGGAACTACGTTACAACACAAATAAGAATTTAAAACTTTTTTTCCAATAGCTTCTTGACCTCTGTGGAATCCAAAACTGTATCAGACAAATTCCCATGGAGATTCTGAAGTGCATCTTAAAAGCAAGCATTAAGTTTGCTTTTTGCAACTGGAATCCTGCCATTTCTATTAGTCATGGGCATACCACAGCTGACTCCAGTTCTGCAAAGATTGTGCTTCACTTTAAAGCTGCAGAATCCTGTGCACACAGGAGTGGATTTCACTGAACCCAATGAAATTTAAATGAAGTACAATGCATAATAACCAGGGATCCTGCAGGAGGGGCTAAGCACATGCTGATGACTTTGGGGCCGACTTTAAATAATAGAAATTCATAGACAATATGACAACATTTTAAACTTGACATTTAGGGCAATATTTTCTAATTGTTCTCAAAACAAATATCGCTCCAGAATAATTATACTTGGCAAACTTAAAGGTTTTCTGATGTTTGGGGGTAAGTATACATGCCTGCTATCAGAAAAACTTCATTAATGTATTTATGAATTTTCTGAAAGGTCAAAAGAGAAGTCTATGCTTCTGAAAAGTAAAAAAGAAAAATATATCAAAGGAAATGTTCCTCCACATTGCATTACAGACATATACAAACAGATGTCACAACATAAATGTATGTGAAATGAGTGCTCACTAAATCTTGAACAACTCTTTAACTTTACTGCTTTTATTTTCAAAAAGGACAGTGGCCTGCCCTTTTCTTTATTACCACAATAACCTTCTTTCAAGATCAAAAGCTTTAGATCAAAGCCAAGATCAAACCCCTTGCTTTAAATAGAAGCAACACTGCCATGAAGTATTACACAAAGAAGTAATCTTAATATAGTAGAAAATCTTATCCCAATCTTTTATTTTACATGTATTTACATTCATGTAGTAACTGAGAAAGCTGCTACTTGTTAACCATTATGTTCTTCAACAGGCAAAAGCTAGCTGAGAAAAGTCAATCATCAAATGTAAAGAAAAGGGGATTGTTAGGCACCTAGTAGAGGGATGATCAAACTTTACACCAAAGAGTGATTTTTTTCAGTTGTCACTGTTTGTCATTTGCCTAATGCATAAGGGCATTTGTCAGGGCATGACAGCCATTTGGTTCTGTAGCTGAAATACTTTCAGTGAGCTCCTTTTAAAAAAGATTTATCAAATGTGAGATTCCCCCACATTTTCACCTGAGATAGGACAGATTTGTTTTTACCTAGCTTTTCCTCCAAGCAACATATACGCTTGTCGAAGGCTTTCACGGCCGGAGTTCATTAGGTGCTGTAGATTTTCCAGGATGTGTGGCCATGGTCTTCGCATTGTAGAACCTGATGTTTCGCCAGTAACTGTGACTGGCATCCTCAGAGATATAACACAGAAAGATGGAGTACTCTCTGTGTCAAGGTGAGAAGAAAATGGTAGGCAGTAAATTTATATGTACTCCAGAAGCTGAGACAATGACTCAGCCCTACCCACCTTCTGGAGTAGATATAAATTTACTGCCTACTATTTTCTTCTCACCTTGACACAGAGAGTACTCCATCTTTCTGTGTTATATCTCTGAGGATGCCAGTCACAGTTACTGGCAAAACGTCAGGTTCTACAATGCCAAGACCACAGTGACACATCCTGGAAAATCTACAGCAACTAACATATACGCTTCTTCGTTTAATCTTACAACTCTGTGAGGCAGGTTAGTATGATCAAGGGCGTACATACCAATTTCCGGGGGGGAGGGCTGGGGCTGGGTTAACCTGGGTATTCTCCAGAGCTCCCCTGCCCCCCCAAAGCAATCCCTGCCAGCCCCACTCAAGCTGGCCCTCTCCCCACCACAAAAGCAGTCCCTGCCAGACTGCCAGCCTCTCTGCCACTCCCTGCCCTGAAAGCATTCCTTGCCAGCCTGCTTGCCTCACCCCTCCCCTGCCTGAAAAGCAGCCCCTGCCACCCCCCACCAAAGCGCCCAAGCCGCTCATGCCCTGAGTGCCCTCGGCCCCCTCCCATCCAACCCAAAGCAAGCCCCTGCCCCCTACAACCCACCAACTTACCCTTCTGGCTGGTGGCAGCGGCAAGCAGAGGCAACACATGCTGCTTCCCTCTCTTCCTGGCCCAACTGATGGCTGCTGGGGGCGGGGCTTAGGCAACTGTCTGCCCATCCACCCAGCAAATTGGTTAAAAAAAGCTTTTTAAAAGTTTTTAAAAACCCTTTCCGCTTTCAAAGTGGGGAGGGGGACGTGGGTTTTTTTTGCAAGCATCACAAGTATTGCCTGCACTGGTTGCCTTGGGGGAGGCTCAGTTCCCCTGGAAAATTTCAGGGAGACGCTAGCCCCCGAGGTCCCCCCCTAGTCTACACCTATGAGTATGAGAAGGACTGTGACTGACTCAAGCCCATCATGGCTAAGCAGGGATTTGAATTCAGAAATCAGTCCCAGTCTATGATCACCTATAGCACCCTGGCTTTGTTGTGTGTCAGTTCACACATTCACATTCACCCCAAGGAGTATGGCACCAACTATTAGTGACTTACATGTGGGAATTATCACAGAGCAACCATCACAGACAGAACTTTCATATCACCTCCCATAATTTCCAATCCAGTATTTTCCAACAGAGGCAGCTGTACACACAGTTTATGAACCATCAAATTGTTGAGCAAGTGACTTCAAAATGACATATATGCATATATCCACTGGCCACTAAAGGTAAAGGTTTCCCTTGTTTGAAAGCCAGTCGAATCCAACTCTAGGGGGCGGTGCTCATCTCTGTTTCCAAGCTGAAGAGCCAGTGCTGTCCAAAGACTTCTCAGTGGTCATGTGGCCGGCATGACTAAACACCAAGGCACACGTAACACTGTTACCTTCCCACCGAAGCGGTACCTATTTATCTACTTGCAATTTCTTGTTTTCGAACTGCTAGGTTGGAAAGAGCTGGGGCCAGAGACGGGAGCTCACTCCATCACGCAGCACTAGGGTCTCAAACTACCGAACTACAGACCTTCCAGTCTGCAGCTCAGTGTCTTAAGCTCTGAGCCACCGTGGCCACTACCTCATGTGAATCTCACCTCTTGGTGATTCAAATTTTTACAAAACACAGCCTAGGAAAATTTATAATCCAAACCCGTCTAAACTAATATTAATAGTCAACTAAATTTTCAATTGTTTACAGATTATACAGTGATTAGGAAATGTTTTTGGCACCAAGGACAACACTGGGCACACAATGAGCTGAACCACACTAATTTATATTCCCGCTACACAGAGGGCTTGACGCTGAAGACCCAGATTTAGATCTGCTTCTCAGCACTATCCACTGAGTGTACTGGACTGTATGGGGGGAAGCTGTCCCCCAAGTCAGTTGAAAACTACTTTTCTGTAATAAGCTCTTGCAAGGCTGTGATGCAAGGCTCAGGTGACCAGGCTCTGCGCTTGTTCTTGGGGGGGGGGGATTTAAATGCCTTGCAGCTATAAGGTGGTTTCTTAACAGAACATGGTTCTAAGCAGCTTGGGTAACCAAAGCGACTTGCCCAAAGTTACCTAGTGAATTTAGTAGATGAGCAGGGATTGGGGAGGGGCAGTGGCTCAGTGGAAGAGCTTCTGCTTTGCATACAAAAATTCCCAGGTTCAATCACACAAAGTATGTGACCCCAATACTCCAGCAATCACACTGGC